TTTCATTCTTTTTCTAAATATCATGCCTTTGTCAAAGCTAACTTCTTCACATTTTCCAGGGTTACTAGAAAAAAATGTACCTTCTTCCACCATTTACTCTTCAGAAATTGCCTATACTTGCAAAAGTTATTGACAAGCAAAAGGCATCTGAGGCAGATTTAAAAGGCAGTTCTTAAAAATCATATAAGTATTCACTTCACTGTTTAGTGGGGGAAGAAAGTATTTAAGAGCCTTAGGGAAACTGTTTCTAGATTTTTTTTTTTTCCTAAGAATATGTAAGACCTAGTGGAAAAAGGTCAAAGTTTGTCACAGAGTAGCTTCACCCTTTTTCAACCAGGTTGCCCATCAGACTGACATAAGCCAACCACTGTCAAACAAGGGTGAGAAAAGAGAAGTGGCCCATCAACAGTTTGGGGTATAGTACAAAGCAACAACTCTGTTGTTATTTGTAGATCTTCATGTAACTATTCCTGTGATAATTTTCTTAAGGCCTCTCAGTTTATTAATCAAGATTAGGTACGCATCCCTGGGCCCACAGACTCATCTTCCTGAAAATGCTTATGACCTTTCCAGCTATAAAAGGCCTGGAGGACTGAAAAGTCACATGACCGCGACAGCAGCTGGACTGTTCAGAGCTAAATTAAATAAATAATGAAAGCTTCCTCTCTCTAAAGCTAAAACTTAAAGACAGAGGCTAGATATCTATCCTGAGAAATCTTAACAAGGCAGATTTCAGAAAACATCCCCCTTCTGAAAACTAGTCCCCACCGCAGTTGCTCAATCACAATACAGCAGCACTAAAGGCACTAGACAGATTTAAAACATGTCAATCAACACGTGTACAGTTGCAAATCGTTAAAACACCTCTTGCAGCCAATTGGCACAACCAAACGACAGAAGCAGTGAAAGACATAGAGCTTGGTTATTTGTTATTGAGGCTGGCGATAGGACAGAAGGAGCTGGGATGAACAACACAAGGATCTAACCGAGGGACTGTCTTCAGGCATAGTGTGACTTTTTCCTTCTTCTCTGGCCATTCAAATTTTCCTTCAGACAATGAAAACCACTTATGGCTAGCCTTTTCTCTCCAATATATAACAATAACAGCACCACCACCACTCTTCGATACTGCTGCTTTGTATTACGGTAGTGTCTAGGATGGAGGGTTTCCTTCTGCTTGAACATAAGGAAGAATCCCTTGGTGAATGAGAGTTTAAGACCTTGATCTCGCATTGGGATGCACATAGAAAAAATGGCATATCTGTGAGAAAGATACCGGAAGGTGCAGTTTCAGACTGAATGTAGTGAGACTGTTGAAAGGAGATCGTGAAGATGAGAGGAAAAAGATAACAGGAAGAAAATGTAATTAAGTCAATTCAACACCATTTCATTATTTCTAACATCTAAATTTTTTCTGGACTGTAACTAAACAAATACATACCTCACATCCTCAGCAGCTGTTTACTATCTTTAATTGGCACTTTTCTATAGATACAGTGTCTAGGACAAGTCTAAAAGGATGGATTTTAAAAAGATGACTGAACAAAGTAATTTGACCATTTTTAGGGAGAAAATTTATCTTGTATAGCATATATAAGTCATAAAACAATGTATATAAAGGAATTTTCATTAATATCGGACCTTGACAAAGAGGCAGTCATTTTTCTTTTGCTTATGGTCTAACAAAGAGAAAAAGGAAGAATTTCTTTAAGAACATGAAGAACTTCAAGACATTCAGAAAGTGTTACAGGTGGAAGCACAACCTAAAGATCCCATCTAAAAGGCACCGATTTCAGGACTTGCCACTCTTCCCTCACAGGGAAAGATTCTGAGCAAGACCATACAATTTGTAAGAGAACACTCTAACCGTTCCATAAGCAAGAGACAACAGGAGGAGAAAAACGACCTTATAATTCATGAGAAAAACTCTGATAGTGCCTTGCTGAGGGACATGGTTGTGTCAGAATAAAAGGAAAGTGGCACAATTACAAACTGAACAGTCAAATGAGGAAAGCCATTTCCAGTGTAGTAAAGGAACTCCTCAAAGGAGTATTTGTAACAAGAAGCTATGCCAGCTGTCTTGGAGTCAACAGACAATTATCTGTCACAAGGAGAAGCAGAATAACTATAAGCAATTTCTTAAAAATATTAATACTATGAAACATGTTAATTAACAATATGAACACTCATGAGACTGAGACTTTCCCATTGCCTCAGAGCTAGAACTGGCCTGTTATGCAGCAAGAACTGTCGTTTGGATTACAGATCACAAATAACTGACAGAAGTAGGCTTCAGGCATGCTTTTTCATCTTTATCATGCAGCCTTACACTGATTTAACTTAGTGTTTACATTTTCTCTTCACTTTACTATATGATGTTGTAGATAGCTGCACCATTCCACACCCAGTCTGAGCTGTCATATACCATACATGAGATTATTCTTTTTCTCTTCCAACTACATGCCCAAAACGTAGCATTCTGAACCTGAACAAAATGAAAAACTTGTGTTTAATGTGTCTATAGCAAAAGGCATCTCCCATGGAGATTATTATCTGACATCCTATTTAGTATAACAACAGTAGCACTATTGCTCCTGAGGAGATCATTATCCTGTTTTGCTATATTTGAGGGTAGCACCTGATTCAAATCAACACCGGCATGTTCTTTCATGACTGTTTGGAGCAAATTTTATTATCTGGAGGAAGCAACTCTGTCAAAATTGTACTAAGTACATGCAAAGGAATCAGTCAAGCGCCTCTGTCCATGGTAGGAGATGGCAGATACATATATATATAATCAGGAGATGCTGATACAGTAATTTAGAAATGAGAAAATAATTAAAGCCAACAAATGGATATGTATTACATTTCAGAATAATTCAAGTCAAATACAAAACATCACTTAGTCTCTTAGGAAGTTAATGGGAGTTCCTCCAAAGACTTTGGCTCATGTTCCTACCCGTGAACCGAGAAGCAGGACAAATTTCCCTTCAGGCCCAAGAGGACTGAAACCTTTGGCATGAGTTCCAGTGTCTTGTCACTTCCATTCATGGGCACCAATGTCAATATTTTTGAGGGTAATTTGTTTGCTTAAAAAGAAATAAAGCCCATCATAAACTGTCGTGGAACATTATAAAAATAGGGAGTATTTCTGAACTCTAAAGATTGCCTATTTGGATCAGGTTCCTGGTAATCTCTGCTCATTTTCCCTTCCCAGGAATAAAATCAATCCTGCAACCTTTATTGATATGAAAGTAACATTTGCAAACGTGCACTAAAGTCAAGTCAACCTAGCTCTTATCGGTCAGAGCCTAAGCCCCTTATTCATATTGAGAAACAGTTGTGCAAGTCTTTCAGATGACAAAAAATGAGCTAGTTTACATAAATGCTCATCAGTGGGCATAATGACAGTAATGAGGCCATAAATTGGAACTGTGAGGAGACTTGAGCATAGCATCAGCTATTTTTGTAAGTACATTTGATTGAAAAGTACCGCAAAATAAAAATATTTACCACCATGAAAGCTGAACTTGATGGTCCTGAATTATTTTCAGCCAGAGTGAGTAGATGCAACTTATTGCTACTTACTATATTGCAGAAAATATTTAATTTCTGGTTTTCCTTCTTTTATTTTGGAAGGGTATTCAATCTGACATGTACACCACCAGTCAATCTTTGGCACTTTTATCTGTACAGATGTCCTTTATTCTACCTGTCTCACTTCATCTTTGTTCCCATTGTTCAGAAACAGTGTTATTCCAATGTTTCAATAATAAAACCATGCAGTCAATTAGAATCACAAACATATACAAAAATTTAGTTTGTCTTTACTTTTTGTGTTACTCAACAGTGGTCTTACCCTACAAATAAACCTTATATCTTGTTCTTAAAAGTGTCACTTAAGATCTTAAACAACATATGGAAATCATAAGTATTCTGCAGAGACTGCAGGAAAGATAAAGACAAAGAAAGACACAGTAAAATTCAATCATCGCCAATATTTTTTAATGTAATCAATGGGTTTGCAGATGATTTGTTAAAAAAAAAATGATATGTTTAATCATTAAATGATACCTATTTGTAACGATGAGGTGGTTTTATTGTAATCCAAAGGCCAGAGAGAGAGTTAAAACACGTCAAATATAAGGTGTGTAATTACCTAGTTTCTTCTCACTTTCCTTGGTTTTGGAAATACGAAAGTTTTTAGAGATAAAGAAGCTGCCAATTGGAAAGAAGACTTATTATTTATCCATTCTTTTGCTAATGAGTAATATTAAAATATTAATGTCTGAAAACGCTGACATTTGTATACCATCGTAGTTTTCATGATCTTTGGTTCAATTGCGACTACTAAACTGTTGGGATGCTCAAAGTGCAAGCTTGATGTCTGTGTTTTAGAACCAGTTAAACACCGATATATAAAACTATTTTGCACACCTATATATCAACGGAAAGATTTCAGAGGACTAACTTTCACTGTTAGGTAACAGGCTAAAATGTACAAGAAACACCCAAAGCCAAAGCTGGTGTGATGTTACTACACTGGGCATTTCCTTGGGTATAGCACCTCTCTAGCAGGATCTAATTTTTACAGAGCTCACAGAAATCCAGTTAGCAGAGGCATTTTAAAGAAAAATCCATCTTACTGCCAGGTTTTTTTCAAGCAAAAATCTCTAACTGTAAACTAAGGTAGGAAATAGTTCACTATATATGCCACCACTTGGTTTCCCTCCTCATGCCTTGCTTTGTTTTTCTTTTCCTGTACATCCATAATAGTTCATCTAGTGAACTCTAGTGTCTTAAGTAATTTTTAAACCAGCGAACAAAGGGAATAAATTCAGGAAGAATGAAGGAGGGAAAAAGAAACCTCTGACCTGGTATCACCAAAAAAATAAACAAATGAAAAAAAAAAAGACACTAAGATGAAAACAAAATAGTGCCATGGATTTACATATGGGGTTTTGATGGAAACTAGGGCTGGGTTTTAAATCAAAACTCACCATCTCAAAACCACTTCTTTTCATCCGCCTGCAGGACTTGAGGTAAGTACGTATGCGTTTTCTGGCACGCTCTTGATACTCAGGGAATTGTCGCCTGCATGAGTCAATGATAGCCTGGATCTTTTCTTTGGGCTGCTTAGAGATTGGGACCATTCGGTCCAAGTTTTCATCTACAAACAGCCTGACAAACATCTGTTGGCAAGAGGGAGACAGAGGAGATGGGTTTGGAGGGCGGCTCTCTTCTCTTCCTAGCTTCCTGTCTTGATTACTGATAGGAAGACATTTTTTCTATCCACTGAAGAGCTTTGCAATGGGAAGCCAGAAATATTAAGCAAACAGTTCTTTAAAGGGTTATTTGTGGGGGGGCTGATTAAAAAAAAAAAAAAAAAGACAAGAAAAGAATAGTCTATAGGGTACAGAACTTGTGAGATAAACCAGAACAGATTGTGAAAATAGGCACTAAAGTTTCATAATTAACAATAAGCTGTGATTGCTAATCATTTTATTGAACTGAATCTCACTTTCTCTTTGTTTGAACAATTGCTTGTGTTTTCATGCATAATTATATACACTGGGAAAGCAACAGAGAACAGCTGACCACTGGAATGGTCTCCTGATAAACTAGCTACAGACCCTTCCCATTCAATGGGCGAACATGCACATACACACATCCACGCACGGGCGCACACACACACATACAGAACAAAGCTTTGTTTTCCTCACTGGTAAAGATGGCACTCTGCCTTAAAATTCTAAATAAAACACAGTAAATCTGTCGTCTGTTGGCAAGAGTTTAATGTGCATTAAAATAATAATTGAAATAAATCCTGGAAATAAAATTAATGTGCCTTTAATACTGTCAAACTTACCCATAAATAACAATGTAAAATGAATAGTAGGAGTGGACGAGACAACAAGCGCAAGAGGACTTACGTTAAAAGCTTTCAGTCGCTCGGCTTCTACCCCATCTGATTCATTAACCTTCTCAGGATCTTCCTGATCATCATGGTCATCCTCATCCTCATCTCCTCGATTCAGAGACAGATCTTCAGCACCTCTGCCTACGCTCTCATTCTTGCCAGAATCATAGCTTGAATAGCTATGTGCAGGGGACTGAAAACAGACAAAAAGAATATGTTTGTAAAAATTCACCATGGAAATAAGGTCTACTCATCAAAAATGCTTTATAAATATTTAAAGAATTCCATGATTTCTTTTTATTCTTTGTTCAACATAAAGCACTCATAATCCTTATAAGAGTGAACAATTCATAGTAATATTCATTTCAGTAGTTTAAGCAGGCTGTATGGCAAAGATCTCATGTTAACTGTAATTATAACAGGTAATTCATTTGTTAATTGATGTACTGAATGTGCAGCTGGTCACATTTTTTTTTTAAAGTACTACATACACAAGTTTCTTACAAATACCAGCTTCTTTGTATTAGCCAAGATGTAAATAAGGGGTAGTTGATTTGCACAGAACTCTAAAGGATTAAAATTTACACATTTTAAGGTAAAGAGGATTTAAGTTAGAAACAATGATATTAATCCAATCAATATGAAGTATTATAAAAAGCTGCTATAAGTTATTCAAAACATGGAGATCATCATGTTCTAGCTTCACTTGCAAAACCCCAGAATGAAGTAGAGATGTGTAGGTTTGTTGACATTTTGAATGCTCTTGTGAGAATCATATGGTGAAACCATTTTCTGTATCAGCATTCAGAATTTTCCCCTAAATAAACATTCAGCTTTCTGGATAAATCAGATGACCATCTCATTAAAGTGTATCCACTTGTAGGACCAAAAAGCTTTCAATTACCAGTGGTCAATACTGCATTTTTCCTTGCAATATCAAGACTTCCATCACCCGTTTCCTCTGCACACACTTCAAACTGCAGACCACAAAAAGACATCAGTAATAAAAAGCCTTCTACAACTTCACACTTTCAGATCAAAGCTTTCCCCCAGTCACACAAAAATATCAGAGTATCTTCACCAGAGCTGTAAAAGATTCACGTTTAGGTAATTCAGAGCACAATTTTACTTCTATAATATTTTAGTTATGTAATGTTTCAATGTTTTTCTCTCTTGCTTCAAAGCATGCTCTAGTCTACTAGCTTCAGAGAGTCCTGAAGCAGGTGCTACATGAACTTCACATACAGGCTTTTCTTAGGTGCTTCATGCATAAATGTCACCAAAAGTCAGAGGCATAATGCCTCAATCAAAAATACTTTTCAAATACTTAAAATCACGAGCCTTGATCCACATTATGAGCCTCCTAAAATTGTCTTCAATTCAGGGGTGTTTTCACCAATCACAGAAAGTAGCTGGGCAGTGAGGTAGGAGGGAAAAGCCAACAAAACCATTCATCTTTACGGTACACTTCTTGCTTTATATTCTTACTCCAACTTCTTTTCCTTCCCTGTTTTCATTTCATTTTGTGTTGGTGTCCTTTACACCATCGATTTTGCAGTCACTCTCATACATTGCCTTGCCTTAACAGCATTCACACTCCAAGCCTTCCTTTTTTATCTACCCTCACCCAGACTACATTCTCACTGTACAAATCCCCTAGAGTTCCACTTTTTAATCCCTAATGCTGCTAACAACAGATGTTGCAGCCTCTCCCATCCCCTTCCTTAAGAGTCTCTTCACTCTCTAGACCACCCTCCATCCTCTAGACCTTTATAACAGACATGGGGAGAATGAGAAAACTTCAAAAGAAAACAGAAGAGCTAGCCTCTGGATACAAACACCTACAACACACAGATAGCTCAACATCACTTTTTCTCATCCTACAGCCTACAACTGCACAGTTACAAGGCAAGAAATTCAAGTTCAGGATGGCAGATGCGAGATGGCACGAAAAGATAAGACTTGGGAGAGCAGCAAAGAACCTGCTCTTTTTCTTTAAACAGGTATTTTGTTCTGGTGTACAATGAGTATCTACGCTGCTGCCCATTCAAGGAACTCCTCCTTGCAGGAGGTGTTGAATCCATTGAATTATGATGGTCCAGAAGAATACGGCTCCATTCTGTTAGAAGATGATGGCTATAACTTATCAGACTCCCTAGGTATATAAGCAACAGTGTATAACCCGGCCAATGGCTACCAGAAGGCCAACAACTGCACCCTGGTAGCCTGTTATGAAGGAGTAAGAAAAGTGATTTTCCTTGATCCTGAAAAGATTCCCAGAAGCAAAATTTTAAAGGAAGTTACAATTAATTGTTGCAATTATTGTAATTGTGTCCAAGTGCTATGCAGTAGGTCTGACCTAGCCTGCAGGACTTGTTCTTTTGCACTTCTTCGTCCTACCCCATACTACAGCTACACAGCACACTGAGGGCTTCTAGATAATCAAAGCCGTTTCATGTGCTAGGTGCCATACAAAGATGTAGCAAGCAGAAGCTACTGCCCTGAAGAACCCTACTGTCTGAAATCCTTGTTCTGCAAGCACTTGATTTCACATGAGTCATTTCACCAGACTAAATCCAATTAGACTACCCATGCGCGTAGAGTTAAACAGATGCAAAACTGATTTCGGTATGTACATTTGTTTGGGCTGGATGCCAAGACCATAAATATGCACCAGGATTGAGATTGGCTTTTGTGAAGGAAAGAAATTCAAGCCAAAATAGAAAAACAGAATAGCTGTGTGTCTCAAAAATGTAATAGGTTGTTGGGTTTTGGGGTGTGTTTTTGTTTTTTAAGAAAGCATTGCGTACACGCCCTTGTCCAATGTCTTCTCCAAAATATTTATTTCAAGAAAAACTTTAGCATCTTAAATGAACCGTGGAGAATCACATACTCCAAGAAAGTTGCATGGCAGGAATCCATATTTTTTCATTGTGGATTTAAAGACTGTGTACAGTAGCAGGAAAAAAAGGTGGGTTTTTCCTAGCTGTTGTGTCAGCAAACTGAGGGAAGAGGTTACAAAAGCTCAGTTAAGAATAGAATTTCTACCTTTTTCTATTTCTACACAGATGAATGAGTCAGAGAAGAAACACACTGTTCCCTCTCACTTGTGTTGACTCCACAGATCTGCAAAAGCTGATAAGCATTTTCTTTTAGTAATCTTAAGCAGTTACAGTGCTAAACAAACATGGAATAAGTCTTTTCCTTAGTACATGTTCCCCAATTATAGATCTTGCACTGTCCTTTCAAAGGGCTGCTCCCACCCTTGTCAGACAGGAACCTGCTCATTCACATCCCTATGCACCCCTTGACACATACATTTTTATGGTCCTGCAGTGAACTAGACTGGAGAAGTGATCCTGGTTAAAATGTTTTGGTTTGGGTTTTTTTCTGCCAGTCTGTTTAGCACCAGGATCGGTTCTTGATCCCAGCTCACCACCTGAAAGCACAAACCTTTCAGCTGACAGCTGAGTGTGAACATGGAAGGGACATACACATCTCTCTTGACAGCAATGCAAGATTAAAGCAATCGTGGAGTGGAAGCATTACTAGACATAAGGTGTTCCACAGACGAAACCTTTGTGCTTAACAAACGTGGGTTGGACAAGAAAGCGACAGCAATGTAAAACAGAACTTATCCAAGGAGAACAAATGACGCCAAGGCTAAGGCCAAGAGTATTGCATCCCTCAAACATTTAGATGATTATAAAGTTGCCTGAAAAATACCGAAATGTTGATACATACATTCTGACCACTTTGTCCTTGCCCTTTTCTGAGAGTTCCGAGTTCATTACTTTAATCTCTTCCTTGAAATAGCAAGTATCATACACTTTTGCTTTATGAAAATGAAAGTAAAGGTACTTGCCTAACAACCTGCTTTCATGAGCTTGTAAAATGAAATATCAACATCTTTCCAATACATTACAAGTCAGCAACAAAAGTCATCTGACGAAAGGTTAAGTGTAAAACCTTACAATGAAAAACCTGGAGGGACATCACAGTGTCATCTAGTACGTCTTGCTGCCAGAGAACAAGGTCAGGTAATTCCTGACCACTGTTTGTCTGGTTGTTACTGTAATACTTCCAGTGACAGAAATGCCACGCATCCCTCAGATAATCTACACCAGCATTCCACTGTCTTCGGAATTATTGTTATTCTTAAGACTTACCTCAGAGTTTCATAAATGACACTAAGCCTTAAGAATAACAATAATTCTGAAGACAGTGGACTGTCTTCAGAATTATTGTTATTCTTAAGACTTAGTGTCATTTATGAAACTCTGAGGTAAGCCTGTTTCTCTTCCACCTATCTACCACATATGGAGGACAGGTCTATCTGGAAAGGAGCATTCTCTTCCCTCTTTAAAAGAATCCTTCAGGCATTTGAGGCTGTTAGCATGCCTCCTCCCTTCAATCTTCTCTTCCCAATAAATTCATTCATGCTGGGAAAGTCATGTTTTCCAGATTTGCAAACATTCTTACTGATCTGCTCTGGGTGTTCTTTATTTGGTCTGATACTTTCTCAAAGAGCAACTCCCAAAACTCCAAAGTGTATTCCATTTGAGGTCTTTTTACGAAAAATATATTCATTTATTGCTTGACTGATTTCTAATATGCTTATAGCAGGAAAAAGCTTATCACCCTTTTTGCAAGATGGAGTAATACCCCATATATGCAAATGATAGTAATGCCAAAGCCCCAGTTGCCAACAGAAGTCATGCTGTTATTTATGAGAAATTAAACAGAAATAATCCAGAATATCTATAAAAAAATAGCCTACCACAGTGCCCCAATGCCTGGTAGGCTCAAAACTGATGTACGGCCACCAGACATGGTTTGGAGGATGATGCCACATGAACTCATCACAGGAGGCTTCTCGCAGCAACTTAGAGCAATACTCTTGCCTATCTCTGTGAGTGTATGCTACTGGACCAAAGGTTACTCAGTGCCAGAAAGTTAAATACTGAGGTTGGTTATTTGTAATGACCAAAAACTGGAAAAATTGTGGCTTTGGGATTTTTTAAAATTGTCAAAAGGGAACAAAAGACCCTACCTTTTAGTTTAAAAAAAAGTCACTGAAGGAAGCCTACTGTGATTTATTTTTTTAAACTAAGCTTAATTTTTCACATTTACATTATGTTTACATTTACTTCAATAGTTTTACATTTAATTGGATAATGTATAATTCTTTCAGTTGTTACGTTAGATACTCAAACCACAGCACTCCTGTGAGCTGAGGAGATTCGGAGATTTGAAGAGCTGGCAAGACAGTAGCACTGGCCTCCATACTCCATGGAAAGGAAAGGAGTTGTGGAATATTTGCTGGTAGGTAGAGATGAAACACTCTGCTATACATCATTCTCTTTTGGAAATTTCTGTCAACATCTATACAAGTTACTAAGAAAAAAGTTTTGTGAGTAAATAAAACCATGACCTAAAGCTGTCAGAATTCTGCTTGTTCCCTCAGTTGTAACTCTAACTTTTTCTTTCTTCTCTTTCTACATCTTCGTCTTTCCCCCTGTACTAACTGGATACACAAAAATCTACAATTTCAGCAATTACTCTTGCAAATTAGGTATCCAATACTGTCCTCTTAAAACTGTATTTGAAATTTATATTGGTTTCTCAGAATTCCACTTGCTTTCCTGTGAAAACTCCAAGCTTTCCAAATTGCACAGAACTTGCCTACGGGAGGTGGTGGTGGGTTTTGGTTGTGTTTTGGGGTTTTGTTTGTTTGTGGTTTTGTTGGGGTTTTTGTGTGTGTGTGGTTTTTTTACATTACATTTATAATGCAAGTAATATAAATAACACATTAGAAAACATAGAATACATTTGGCACATATGTGTCCTTTTGGTATTGAGATGAAACTATGAATTCAAACATTCCTATCTTTTTCTCCTCCATTCACACAGTAAAACAGAAGGCATAACTAGGAAACTATGGTTCAGCTATTATCCTAAGCAGTCATCTTTCAGTTTTTCTAAAAGGAAATCCATCTCCAATCCATTATTTTTCATTAACAAACCATTTTTTCCACAACTTCTCTTAAATTCTATGCCTTTGTCTCTTCCACACTTCATTATCGCGCTCCTTACGCAGTCCCTTTAAACCTGCGTACTATCATGCATGGGAACATTACCGTCCATCGCTTTTTTCTCATTACAGAAAAAACTGAAGTCTCAAAACCAATTCCAGCATCTCACCATTTATTTCAAGATCCTATTAACCTCATTTTCATAAACTTGTCACACATTTTCTCATCTTACATATATCCCTGCATTTGACTATGACTGGTTTGCTCCCCTTGTTTCACCACAATTGGCCTTTCCAGCTCCTTCATAAAATTTCACCATTGGTAATGGGAAGGCATCATTGTGTATAATTCTGCTATTTGGAGCATGAGGATAACAGCATTTTTACTGGAAGAATGGAGACCTGAAATCTAGGGCTTCATAGGGTTGACTCTGTATGTGTTATCTAACATCTAAAGTGTTGTGGAGTAGATTGTGCAAGACTATTTTTGCACAAAACCTGTATTAGACTGAAATATTAAAAGATCTTTTCTGTTTGATCTGTGTTAACAGTCTGAGCTCCAGAGAGACAACGCATCAGTTATTTACAACAGCAACTAGGAAATAAAAATATTTTTCTCCTGAATTATCTTTGTTGTGGTCTTTTCTCCAGACTCACCGTTTTTACAGTAGTCAATGAGCGAACTGTGACTGTTCTCATAGCTAACTACTTGTTCTTTCTCAGCAGTTACACCGTCTATATCATATTATCTGTTTGCTTATAATATTCTTTGCACCAGACGCACATTTATTAGCAATAAGTAAACTGTAAATTACCCAGCGCCACTCATTCTAGCAGGATTTATCTGGATAGATGGACGTTCAGATAATTGAAAGATAAGAAATAATTGAAAGACTCCCTGAAACACAGATCTTCCTGTGATATATTTTCTCTGTTTAGCTAAAATATAATCTACCCTACGTCTATCCCCACTGGTATTGACTGAAATTATTGAAATACATCACCCTAATAGAAATAACCACAGAAATTAAGTACAGAATAAAAACAGTGAGGCAACAGAATTCTTGGTCAAGTAGAAGAGAAAAGTATATTTTGAGGTAGTAGTTTAATGATCATCTTACTAATTTGTCCACAACCCATCTCTTCTTACCTGATTCAGCACCTTCAGCAAGGCTTCTGCTCCTTCCCCAGCCATTCTGGAGGGGGACAATTTTTGGAGGATCAGAATAAGCGTGTTCCAAACCTGACAAGCCCACCAGTGTCAAAAGTACCACGGCAGAGCCGATTTAACAGAGCAGGAGATTTGACTACTTCTCACGGCTTTTATTTTACAAAGTTGTTTTATTAATGACTTCTAGAACTCCTGTCACTGATGTAGGAAGACAGGTATTTTCAACCAAATACTAAAAAACTCTAGTTACATAACCCCCAATAACTGGTATATTGTAAAATGTGGCTGCTGGGTTTTTGGCAAAAAATACCATGTCCTTTGTGGAAGTTGAAAAGTCAAAGCTAAATGGTGACAGAATAAAAGCCTAAATTATTTTTGGCATCATACACCTCTATTTTGATGCTTTAAAAGGATCTGACAGAGTTTCTGAGAATTTGAGAAACAGAGGCTGTCACACATGAAAGCTCCATCACAAACTCCTGGATTTCTGTAAACCATGAGCCAAACATATCCTACAGCACACCCAAAACCAGATCTGAATGCACACGTTACACTCCTGTAAGAGCCTCAGTGAAACAAGAAAATGTACCTTATTATCAGAGGTAAGGAAACTTCATGAGCAGTCTCCTAAGGACAGCATTAGCACACTTCACAGGTACTGCCATAACTCTGAGAAGCCAAGAGCCAGGGAGTACCCCCTGTAGTTCTTGTCCTTTTGTCAAAACGCATCAATCAATAACTTTTATTGGAAAACTACCATTTCTAACTTCTGGTGAAATTTTGATGTTTTGCCAAGAACCTTTACAGTTTCCACCCAGATTCCACAATCTTTCATTTGTCAGGTTTGTTTGTTTTCTTTTTTAAATTAAATAGTGACAGTTTGTATGGGGATTAGGGAACATTTTTCTTAGGAATTACACTTCAGTGACTACAGAGGTTTGCATTACAGACAGGTAGCGAGCATTTTTGACCACCCATTCTTTGGTCAACTGTTAGACAACTGGCTGGTAAAAGCTACAAACTATTTTGCAAAAGCACTGGGCTACTAATTTCTTCTTGTTCGACTTAAATTGAGAATGAAACCTTTAATGTAGGCAACACGTTTAGGAAGTAGCTAAGATGGAGAAGATCTATATAAAGATGAACATCACAATGACTATCACAACACAAGCCTCAAGGCTCTCACTCCTCTCCCTGCAGCCTGTCCTCATCTCAGCAACAGAAAACATAACTAAGCAGGTCAGCTGGGGTACAACAAACAGTTGATTTTCATAGGAAATCTCCTGCAAGGAAACAGGAGAATCCCTGACAAAACTCCATCTATTCTTCAAAGAGCCAACTTACTGGCCAACAGTGCTACCCCTATTGTTAGAAAATACCCCAAAGTGCTACTAGCTTTCAAAACAAAGGTAGTCGTTGAATACTACAACTACAGTCATGGCCTCTGAAGTCAGACTTAGGTATCAAGTTATTGTCAGAAAAAGCAGGAATAGAGATACAGGAGCAAAATAATTTCTTGAGTGGTAGTTTGTGTCCTTAGCTTACTGTTTTATTTCTAGGATTTTAATTTCTTAGGGGTATCTGTATGTGGGGAAATAACATTACCACAAATATAGAAGAGGTGGGTTTCTTGTCAACACGTCTATTTTGAACTTGAGCATATTGCTGCTGGAAAAACCTAAGAAGAAGAATTCCCCTCCTCACTTCAGTAGCAAGAAATAAAAAACAGGGAATACAAACTACATGCAATTCACCTGTTTAGTCATGGGCCCCTTGTCAAACATCTACAATTAACTAAGAATTGCCACAATTTTTTCCTTTCTTTTTCCTCCTTTGCTATTTCTTCTGTTAATGCCCCTTGATTCAGTTTAAACCATTTTTTCAAAGCTGCTTTCTCCTGAAATCTTTCATTTGTTTCTTTCAGTTTTAACTCATTATGCTTTAGTTTTTATTGCTTAATTCTCTTCTTGCATTGTTCTCTTGACTCTCATACAATTTCCTTCACATCCTCCTCCCCAAATTTATCTCTGCGCCCTCTTCCCATAAATATAATCTGTGACACCAAAAGGGTTCAATAACTTGTTTTCTCCTTCAATTAAAAAAACTGAAGCATAACGCTATTTTCTCAAGTCCCAAAGCATGAATCTATACTGGTAAATGATGTGCTTATTTGTGAACATCCCTTGAATGTACAACTATCAGCTACCAGTGAAACTCCTGCTAAGAGAACAGCAGCCACAAAGAATCTAAAGACTTTGTACCTGCCCCTTCACATCACCACCTTTTTCTTTCTCTCACTCTTTACTGTGACAGTTTTCCACTCCTTCACAGCAGCTCAGGCATATACAAGCTTTTTCTTTCTGCAGGAAAATGCTCCCAAGGACCAAACACATTCACACATGGAAGAGTTCAAGTCATATCAGGAAGTCAGGAGATGAGCAAGTCCAGAGGAGGCCACGAAGATGCTCAGAGGGCTGGAGCCCCTCTGCTATGGGGACAGGCTGAGAGAGTTGGGCTTGTTCAGCCTGGAGAAGAGAAGGCTCCGGGGAGACCTTATAGCACCTTCCAGTACCTGAAAGGGGCTACAAGTATGCAGGGGGGACTTTTTACAAGGGCCTGTAGTGACAGGACAAGGGGTAATGGGTTTAAATTGAAAGTGGGGAGGTTTAGATTGGATATGAGGAAGAAGTTCTTCCCAGAGAGGGTGGTGAGGCACTGGAACAGGTTGCCCAGAGAAGCTGGGGATGCGCCATCCCTGGAAGTGTTCAAGGCCAGGCTGGATGAGGCTTTGAGCAACCTGGTCTAGTGGAAGGTGTCCCTGCCCATGGCAGGGGGGTTGGAACTGGATGGTCTTTAAGGTCCCTTCCAACCCAAACCATTCTGTGATTCTGTGAATTATGGGGGTGGGTTTTGACACTTACTTTCACCCTGCCTCTGTGTATCCCAGGAAAGCTGGAAATGGAAGCTATGCAAGAGGCTTCCATGTTGTACAAAGTATCAAAAGAAACTTCAAAACAGTTTGTTATTCTTCCAGAGAAGAACAGCAGAGGCAGGTGTAGGGATAATACTACATCAGCACTGCATGGTCTGTGTGTCACAAGAGCAGCAGCAGCAAAGGAGAGGAGCATTTGTTTTCACTAGGTAAAGAGAAAGAAAGCAATGAAGACGAAGGATGCCTCTTCCCATTCTTACCAGGGATCTGGCAAAAGAGTGCTATTTGGGGGTCAGGAACTCTGCAATTTGCTATAAAGTCTACCTAAGGCTACACAGCAGCTGGACTTATTAAACAGATAGTTATATGCTGAACTGTGAGCATGTACTGTCTAATAAGGAAGGAGGAGCAGCATGTTTTATAATTCATGAGGAAGAACACAGTGCACAGAACAAAAGTGGGAAATAATGAGGAACTATAAATGACGAGCAGGATGAGAGAGGAAAACAGTTCCACAATGGACCTTTCTTGGTGTGCTCTGAATTTATCATAAGCTTTTCTCTGTACCGAATTCTTCTTCCTACGTCATTCCTACACCATGGCATTTCAGAAGTTCTCCAACCTTTCTCCTTTCCACTCCGAGCATGGCAGAAGTACAAAAGTTTGGGAAGAAGGTTAAAAACCAATTGGTGAAAGCAGTGGGGGAGAGAACTCCAACTCACCCGTTTACATTGTTTGAGTCAAACTTAGGCTCTTCTTCCTTCAGTTTGTGTTGCTCAGTCATATAACTATCTAGCACATATTCATATGCCAGAATAGGTGAGGGGAGAAAGTCCTGTCACTCTTTCTCTTCTGATTATCAGAGTCTGACTGATCATTTACATTTTCAGAAGTACAGATAAGAGGAAAAAAGATAGCAATAGTAACATATTGAGAGACAGACTCACACAAAAAAAACCCAAAGCCAATTGATTAATGACATACTTTTAACCCAAAATAATCTGTTCAGTACAGAACAACCATTTACAACCAATCCCAGTTATAAGATGACATATTTCTTTGAGGGAAAGCTAGGAATGCAACAGGGGCACAACACAAATTTGTTGCGTATGCAAGAGAGGAATATATTACTTACAGAGAAGTATAGAGCACAACCACAGGATAAAAGAGTAGCTTATTCCTGCTTTGTCTTTTGCCTCTCTACTTATAGAGGCAACCTTTTATTTTTCCTTTGCGGAGTTTTATAAGATGTCTCTGGAGGTAAATCATCTGGATTGTGTTAGCAACTAGCCCTGGGAGAGAGGCTAATTGCCTTAATTACTGCTTAAGGGCCAGGTGGGGAGATTTAGAACTTGAGAACAATCAAGAGGGGACAGATGAAGACAGGGCTCCTGAACTGGGGGCAGCTGTTCCTAGTTTGCAATAGTCTGAGTGACAAGGGAGCAGCTGAGATGCTTGTAGCTGATGGAATAGATTACTGATTAGTTCCCTTAGTTCCCTACTTATCTACCACAAATAAATCTTTAGACTAATTTATAAGAAACGTATGTAGTTTGACCCTCCTTGTTTAGGAAAGGAGGAATAAAGCATTTATCATGTGAGTATGGCGGATATAGTGCTCAAGGTTAGCGCATGACAGCAACCATAAGAATACTGCAGGAGAATTCCTCATAAAGGTAATCTCTAGCCATTAGTCCTCCAGATCAAAGCATACAAAAAGAGCAACAAGAAACAGAACCAAGGAAAGAACCTTTCAGTCCTAAAGCTACAGTGGCTGTGCTCCTGCCAAAGGCTTGGTCTGATGTTTTGGGGGTGAGGATGAAGGACTACTATAAAAAGCATTAAACATGACTCCCAAAAGAAAAGGCAATTCCTGATTAACTATTCAGGAAAACAATTCTAGCAAACAACATAGTTGTGTTGAAGAGTAAATGCTTTTCCTCCAAAGAATCAGAGAGATCACAGTAGCCTCCTAAATCCCTACTAATGTCATTAAATACCTCTGTTGGATCACCACCCTGAAGAAACCAGAAACTCTCACTGTAATCCACAAGTTCACCTGCTCGAGATGGTACAGCACTTTCTACCTTGT